GCTGTAAAAGCCGCTGCCTGTGACGGGGATGGGGGCAGCCTGGGATCCGCCTCAGAAGCAGCCCGCTTCCCCGAGCTACCGCGCTAACTCGGCTCGAGTCTGCAGATGAGTGCGCGGCCCTTCAGAAAGCTCGGAAAGGGGAGGCCGGAAACGTAAGTACACACACCGGAAACCGAAGGACAACAAACCCAAGGACACAGCAGTAAGTGCTGCCCCCAGCACTGGGAGGACCGCGAGGAGAGGCCACCGCTCCAGAGGAACGAGGGCCAGGAGACGGGCTGCTTCGTGCCAGGGAAAAGGCGGCATTTTCGTTGACTGTGAGCAGTCATCGTTTCAGATTATTCGACGTTAAAGGGAACCCGAAAGGGAAATAAATACCCAGTGCCACCACGCTGTGCGTGCCCCAATCACGACACCGCAGCCGTGCTCACTGGCTGCAATAATCACGACATAGTTAAAACCGTGTCCGTCCACTTTTCTCGTCCCGTCTCCCTGACGCTTCCCCGCGCTCACAGCCCCGCGTGCCGCGCCCGCTCGTCGTGCCCCTGCCCCCAAAGCCACACGCGCTCACCACACCAACGTGTGTCCCAGCGGTGTGACCGTCACCGTGCCACCTCATCCGTAACGCCTTTCGTTTCCATGGGAATATTTCTAGGACACGTTTCTACACGTGGTCGCATTGTTCCTTCTCCAGGTCCTGCTGGTGGGGGCGGCTCGGCGAAGAACAGATGCCCGAGGAGACAGAAGCTGGGGCCTGGCACTCAGGGAGGGCGGCCGCGGCCACTCTGGGGGACCACGGGGCTGCTCGGTGACATCACGTGCCGTTCCGAGCCGAGAGCCAGTCTCCCTGGGTCCTTGCCCCTTGGGGAAGGAGCCCGACCAATCAAAGGGAAGGGGGACGAGTGACCGTGACGAGGGCCAAAGCCAGAGAGAGGCGAGACGGCCAAGATCGGGGGGTGGTCTCAGGGCTCATGGTCGGGGCAAGGGCAGGGACAGGCGCCAAGGGACCAATGCAGCCTCAGGCCCGGGCAGCGGTCGCCCGATTAGGGTGAAGGGAGGGGAAGGGCATGAGACGTGGGCCCGACAGACACGTCCAGTGACAGCAACTGCGCCAGGACGGAGACGAAGATGAGCCCAGCGAGGAGCCGGCCAGTGGGGGCGACAGCAGGGAAGGGGAAGGGCGGGGGGGCAGAGCCGGGCAGAGCCGGGCGAGCCGGGGGCCAGGGCTGCTGAGGGAGCAGGCGGCCGCATGCACGTGGAGAACCCCGGCTGCACGGCGGCTCACGAGGCCACCGGGGCGCCCCACGACCTCCTGCTCTCCTGACTGCGGAGATGGCACCTGCGCCCCATGAGCTCCCCGGACCTGGACACCCTGGTGGCACAGCAGGGAGCACCCTCCCTGCCTCTGTCCCCACTGCTCCTCCGGCAGCCAAACTGGACGGTCCTGACCCTGGCCGCTGGCCTGGATGGTGCTCCCGAGAGCCGCTTGGGGTCACATGCTGCCCCCAAGGTCAGTGGGGTGAGGACTGGGGGGCTCAGCCCAGTGGGCAGCGTGTCCATCCCACCGAAACCACGGACGAGTGTGCCTCCTGAGACAGGACGTGCTCCTGGGGGCCGGCCACGTTCCCCCTTGTGCTGCAAGCCGTCCCCCACCCCGTCCGCGCTCAGCTCCCTGCTCCGCCGGGGACCTCAGTGCGTCTTCCTCACCAGTCCGGCATAGAAGGTCGCTGTTTTCCAAGGCTGCGCCCAAACACTCCTCCTCTCTGCCCACTTCTGTCACTGACCTGACCTCCTGTCACCTGAGTCACCCTCACGTGCACGCGTACGAGGACCATGTGCCCAGCTGTTCCCTTTTCACCGGTGGTCCCTCGTGTACCTTAAGTTTCTTTTCTTTTTTTTTTTTTTATGCCTACAGCACCCGGTCTTCCTAGGTGGTCTCCCATCCAAGTCCTAACCAGGCCCGACCCTGCTTAGCTTCCGAGATCAGACATCGGGCTTGTTCAGGGTGGCGTGGCCACAGACCATGGACCGTGGCTCCATTGGGGCGCGAACCCAGGACCTTCTGTGTGTGAAGCAGACGTGCTCACTGCTACACTAGGGAACCACGTCCTACTTCAAGTTTCTCGAAGTGGTGTCCTTCCCTGTGGGGTGACCCTCTCTTCTGTCCCATGCTTGACCCATATGGACAGTGAAAAACACAGACACGTAACTTTTTTCCAGAAAATAAGCCAGAGAGCACGGAGGTTGAGGGCCCCGCGGGCTCGAGGCCGCCATCGTCCTTACGACCGCTACACTACGGAACCACGTCCTACTTCAAGTTTCTCACAGTGGTGTCCTTCCCTGTGGGGTGACCCTGTCTTCTGTCCCTGCTCGACCCATATGGACAGTGAAAAACACAGACACTGAAAAGCAGGCCTCCTGGCCCGGACACGTAACTTTTTCCCAGAAAATAAGCCAGAGAGCACGGGTGGCTGAGGGCCCCGCGGGCTCGAGGCCGCCATCGTCCTTACCCCTATGTGCTGAAAGAGCCAGGACCGCATGACGCTGGTGGCGTGCTTCGGCAGGACGCCCCTCTTGTTCTTGGACGAGCCGTCGTCTTGGTGCAAGAGGCTCAGGTCCTGGTTTAACTGTAACTGAAGCTTTTAAGCAATTGAAAAACACGATCAGAAAGCGCAGAAAACTCTGACATCCCGACAGCGCGTGACCGCAGAGGGAGAAGAACCCGGGACCGTGGGTGAGCGGCTGATGCACGGTGGCGGCTAATTCTCAGGCTGCGCTTCCCTCCCCACTGTGACGTGCCCCCCGGCGTCCCGCCCCTGCAGCCCTCGCGGGACAGACGAGGACGCAGAGCCACTCGCCCTGCGGTCTCCTCAGCACCCGGCTTCCCCCAGCAGTGGACGTGAGGACATCTGAGCGCCCAGCCTCGAGCATTTCGAGGAGCCACCGGGAGGGGCGCAGAGGCTGGAAGCACCACTGACTGGAGGTGGCCTCGCCGCTGAGCAGAGGGGACGGGGACAGCGTGCACACAGAGGGGGTGGGCTCGCAGGCTGAGGGGACCGCCTCTGCCGGCCATGAAGAAGGACACAGCTTCCCCCGCCATGGGAGGAAAGCGTGAGGGGCATCCTGTCCGCTCCGCCACCAAAGGCGAGCAGGCGCTTCGGGCACGGGGCCCTGGGCCGGCCCGGGTTGGGACTGGGTTGGGACCGTGCAGGCCCATGGACACGGCCACGTGGAGGGGGCTGCGGCCTGGGGCCAACACGTGCTGCCAGGGCCTCAGCGGGCACGTCAGGGACACCTCTGCTGTCACTCTGATTGAAGGCCGATGTGAGAATGTAACTTCACGAGTGAGTGAGCATCAGCTCCCCCAGGCCGACGTCACTGTGCTGTACTCACAGACGCAGTGTAAGGGACCTGGGAGCTCGCTTGGCAGAGGCTGCTACCACGTTATTTGTGTTTCCTCTGCGTTTACATCATTTTAAATATATCGTTAAAAAGCCCGAACACCAACATCCAGACAGACAGAATTAATGACTCTAAGGAGACGGTTAGACCACTAACTCGAGACGACTACGAATGGCATAACTGTTTTTGGACCAAAAGCAAACAGCACTACGCCCGCCCCATGCTCACGCTCACACGTGCGGGAAAGGGGCTTCTGAAGCTCGTCCCAAGGCGCCGGGGACACTGGCCCACTTGCCCGCACCAAGCCCCAGCAAAGCCTGGGACTGAGCACAGCGGGGACTCGAAGGCCTAGGAAACTGGCTGGAAGCCTGTTTAAGAGGCAGTGAGACCCCAAATGTCCCCCAGCATTCTCTGCGATGGCTGATCTGCCCCCACCCCTGCACGAGTCTCGAGGTTTCTCTCCCAGGGAAAGCCGCCAGGGGCTGCATACTCAGGGCAGCTGTGCGCAGCTGGAGTGGGGAGCAGGCGGCAGGGACGTCTGCACGTGAGACGGGACGTCAGCTCCTTCAGCCCCTGCAACTGCGTCTGCCCAGGCAGGGGTCAGAGAGCCCTCCTCCGGAGAGACGGGAAGAAATGACTGCGGACGGGCGGAACGCGGGCCAGCCGGCTCGGGGAAGCCAGCCTGCCACAGCCCAGCACATGACAAGAACCAAACAGCCGTGTAGCAGTTCATGTTTATATGTAAAAGGGCAGCTAAGTGTCCCCAAACACCTGAAAGCCTCTATCACAAAAACAGACCCCAAAGTGAATAAACTTGGAGATGCAGAGAAAACAGAAAGAACGCGAAAACAAAGAAAAACATCGACCTTTCGTGAACCAAAAGTAGGATGCGCAGAAGGCAAAGAAGAGTCTTAGAAATTAAAACCACGCTAAAAATTTAAACTTAATAGAAAGGAAATCTCTCGGAAAGCAGACGAAAACTCAAAAATGGGAACAAATACAAAAAGGCACAAAAATCAAGTGATGGTTCAGAAAGGCCAACGGCCAGTTAGTGAGGCCCTGGAGAGAGCCAGCCTGCACGTGGGGGTGGGGCAGGGCTGCCGCAGACAGATCAGGGACCTCCCGGGGACAAAAGGCGCGTCCACAGTGCTCGGCACCAAACTCAGAAAAGCAGCGTCTGAAGGAGGGGAGACACAGACGCACAAGAGCCCCAACTTTGGCCAGAGAAGAAGGAAGAAAGGAGCCCAGAGCGGCCCAAAGAGCTGTGGCAGAGCTGTGCGTGTGACGTGCCCGTTTCATTCCAGGTGCGGCTGGCCCAGGCCCTTCCCGGTCTAGTCGCTCCCGCTAGGACCTGAGCAGCTCCTCCCTCTGGCTTCCCGGCCCTGCCACCCTGGAGGAAATGACAACGGGGAAGATAGGACAGATAAGGACAGGGACACAGTGGGCCACCGCGGGCCACACAGGGGTGGCTCACGGGTGGAAGGGAAGCAGGGCAGTTCTGCTCACCGGCCCGCTGGGGGGAGTGGGGAGTCCCGCTGTGTCCGAGGTGACAGGGCGTTTGCTATTTAGACTAGTAACCTCGGAGCAATAGGACGCATGAACCCCAGCGCCCACGGATGACGCATGAACCCCAGCGCCCATGGCCCTGGCTCAATGGTCCCCCCCAGCTGCTCACTTTACCACGAGGCAACAGTGCACAGCGGGCCTGCCTCACGAGCATGGCTGTCAGCGGGGACCAGGGCGGCTCCAGTGGGTCTAGCTCCCGCCCCCGCCCCGCATTCCCTGGACCTGGGAAGTCGCCCTGCGTCCTGGGCCCATGTGTGCCCAGCGAGACTTTGTCCAACGTAACCCTCTATGAAGTCAAAGGCAGGAACCCCGATGGGCCTGCAGCCTGCACGCCGCGGCCTCTCAACCTGCTCTCGACTCAGGAAAACACTCGCATCCCCAAGGGGCCTCCGAGATGTTAACAGGGATGCAGAAAACACCCATGCAGGCCTAAGGCCAGGAACTAACATACAGAACGAATCCACGCTCTTAAATAAGAACTGACACCAGAAACAATGGCTTTCTGGTTTAAACCCAGCTAAGCGTGAAAAAGTGGGTGTGGGCATGTCGCCAGAACTCAGAGGGCCCTGGCGGACCATCGACTCCAATCTCATTGTCCTGAAGGCACAGAGAGGTAGGACCGTTCCAAGGTCACGGTCTGTCACAGCACTTGCAGCTCTGTCACTCGGGTCCGCAAAGCTGCCCTGCGCTTGGCAGCTGGGATCCCTCAGGAGCTGGTAATCCGTGGGAGGACAGCGATCAGGCCTGGAGCAGAAGCCCCACTGGGCGGCAGGGAGGGGGCAGGGGGAGCCCCCGCTCAGGTGTTTCAGCAGGCTGTGGGAGGGCATTAACGGGGTGGCCTGGACGCACAGAGGGGAGCACCCAGAGTTCGTCTACACAGCCACAAACCTCCCAACCCAGAGACAGCCACATGATCCAGAGGCAAGCTGGACGAGTGGGAGGGGAGGGATGATGGGCGGCTTCCTCCTGCTCCCTTAGATCCCTCTGAACTTCACAGCTTTTCACAATACGGGAGATAAAGAGTAAAAACACCCCAAACACTGACGTCCAGATATGCTGGACACTGCTGCATGAAAGCGTGTCTGAGGCCAGTATCCTCACGCACAAGTAACGGCTCAAGTCCGGCTCTCCCTGCGTCCCCGCCCCATGCGACACCCCACCCCGAACCCTTGCAAAGGAACAGCACACGCACCTGGGAGTTCTGGATCCTTATTGTCCCAGGCGACAACGCCTGGGTCACTACTTGGCCTTGAGGAGTGACAACTGTGACCGGCTGATAAACTGTGCCACCTTGAAACAGAAGAAGGAAACAATTAAATTACATTTAAGTCTCAATGATTTAAAACCCATCTTCTCCATATGCTATGGAGGGAACAAAATCTCTAGTACGATGAGCTTTCTGCAGCATTTCAAATGACCAGTACTTTGCCAGCCGACTTGTTGCTACACGTGACAGAAACGAACTCGGGGCACGGGGAGCGCTCAGGCATGGCCGGCGAGGGCGCTGTGCCGCCGGCCAGCCTCGCCCCTCCCGGACGGGGCGCAGGGCAGGGGCAGCTCGGGGTCAGCACGCCCTCCCGTTTGCCTCTATTCCTACCTGCCCCCCAGTTAACACATTCCAGAGGACTGGCCAAAACCATGAGATGGCACGTATTTTTATTATAGCTATTATTATTATTATTATTTTAATCAAAAGTGCCTTAATTCGCCTGTGGCGGTTTCCCTCTGTGCTGTCACGGAGGCTTTTTAGCGTGAATTTCTCCCCCTCGTCTCGTGCTCCGTTCCGACTTCACGATGGTCTGTACAGGCAACATTCTCGATGCACCAGGGAACTCTAGAATTCGTCCCTTCCTGTGACCGTTTTTATTATACAAGTGGGACCAAGGCTAAGACTGCATTTCGGTTGCTTGTCACCAAGTTAAGATTTTCCAGGTGCCGCTAAGAGCACAGTGAGAAACTGCTTTTTGAAAACTGCCGTTTGGTTTTGCTACGCGGTTTCGACGCTCACACAAAGCCTTCCTCCCTAACACTTTTTGGTAGAGACACAGTTTGCACAGAGTATTCGCCGCTGAGCACTAACAAGACGCAGGCATCTGAAGAGCTCCAGACTTTAGCACTCGGGTTAGGGAACTGTCATTAATTAAAAATGATATTTACGCACGTCTCCGTGCTACAATAAAAGACTTTTTTTTTTTTTTTGCAAAAACTCAAAGAAAAGGTGTCCTTTCTTCCCTCGCGTACCTGCCACCGTTGCCATGGTGACGTTTCCCTGCTGCAGCGCGGACGCCGGCACCACGATTCCCTGGGGGCTGAGCGTGCCCGTGATGGCACTCTGGATCTGCTGGGAGTCAGAAGCACACAGGGGACGGATTACTAGGAAGCAGAACGCCATGCTTAAAGTTTCAAAACGAGTGGCATAAGGCATCAGTGACAAAGGAAAGATGCTCGAGGCAGGAGCGCGACCAGATGACAAGCCTTCCTTCGGTAAAGCGTGCCTTACACATCTGGAAAGCAAGAGACGCGAAACCCACTGATCGCTGACCGTGATCATCAGCACTGAGGTACTAGTTTCAACCTAGCTTCCAAAAGATGGTCTTCCATCCCAGTGCACAGTAACCACGCCTTCAAGTCCTGGAGGTGTGACCGGAAGACCGGAAGCACCTGATCTCATCACATGCCTGTCCATCAGGTTTGATGCAGACTCCCGATTTCCCAAAAACCACAGCCTCCTTGAGGGGATGAGCATTTTCAGAGTATGCCACAGGCCGGGGAGGCTCTGAGCGGTGGCGGGGGTCACCCAGCGCCCACACAGCTCCGTACCTACCGCCTTACCACAGCACGGTGACACCTGAGTACCACCGCCCGCTCTGCGCACCTGTCTGTGAACGTCACGTCGCAATTACATCCAGACGGGCAAACGCATCCGCTGATGCGATGGCTAGACGCGCGGCTGGCGAGGCGCGGGACCTCTGCACCTGGCGCTCGGTCGGGGTCTGGCACATGCAGGCACCAGACACTAAGCAGCGGAAGTGGGGATCGCTCAGAGGCGGTCGTTCTGTGGGCGACCGCGTCTACGTGAATGCGTAAGTTGTGGTCTGTACGCACACAGTCTGCCTCACTAACTTGGTCAGAATAAAAATGAAGCCATCCAAAGTGACGCTCCAAGCTCCCACGTCAAGAACCTCGAAAGAGAGAAACAACATAAAACCAAAGAAAAAGGGAGGAAATGACAAAGATCGGAGCGGATAACAATGAAATTAAAGTAGAAAACGACGGAGAAGAACTATCAATGGAAAGAGAACAGGTCGTTTGAAAAGCTCGATGTATTGATAAACCTCTAGTAAGACCAACAGACAAAGAGAAGACAAACTACCAATACCAGGCCTGAAGCAGAGGATATGACTACAGGCCTGTGGGCATCGAAGGTATAAAAGGAATACTCTGAACAACTCGACACCCTTGACACGACGTTGTAGACGAAATCTGATGTGAAGGAGGTGACCAGAAAGGGAACTGAATCTGTAATTTGGAAACCTCCAAAAAAGAAATCTCCGGGTCCGGGTAGTGTCACTGGGGAATTCTAGCCGTCATTAGAGAACAACTAATACCAGGTATAATGATCTCTCCCAGAAAACAGGAGAGGCGGCGATTCTCTCATTTGCTTTCTGAGGCTTGCACGATCCTGATACCAAACCTAACAAAGACCATACTAGGAAAGGTAGCTGCAGGCCAGTCTCCCTCGACTCAGATGCAAAACGCCCAGCGAAGTGTTAGCCGGCGGAATTCAGGGGTCCCTACCCAAAAGGACGACGTGCCACGACCAAGTGGCGTTTGTTCCAGGAATGCGAGGATTGTTCAGTATTCAAAAAAGTCAAGTCATGCGATCCGCTATATGAACAGGCAGAAGAAGAATCACATAATCCTATCAATCCACGCGGGAAAAGCATTTGACGGAATTGAAAATAAAAAACTCCCAGGAAAACAGGGATAGAGGGAACTTCCTCAACTTGATAAAGAGCATTCAGGGAAAAAAACTACCATTAAAAGCAACAGTGAAAGGCTGAACTCCTTCCCTCCGGCTGAGAACCACCAAACTGTTCCAGAGAGTCCTGGGGGTTCCAACCATCGCGACAAGGCGAGGACGAAAAAGCTCAGAGATCAGCGGGAACTAGCACTGTTCCTGCGGCAGGCGACATGACGAAACAGGCAGAAAATCCTAAGGAATCTACAAAAAAGGACCTCCTAGAACTAAGAAGTGAGCTCAGCGAGGTCACAGGATACAAGAGAAACATCAAACCGGTGTGTTTTCACACACTGGCACGGGCCCTGAAATTAAAGCTACGATACCGTTCATAAATGCTCAAAAAATGATCTGCCTGGGTACGACCTAAAAACGAATGTACGGGACCTCTGTGCTGGACACTGTGGGACGCAGTGGAGGACATCACGGCAGAGTAAACAAATGGGGCACAGAGTAAACAAACGGGGGGCGCAGAGTAAACAAATGGGGGCGCAGAGTAAACAAACGGGGCGCAGAGTAAACGAACGGGGGGTGCAGAGTAAACGGGGGGCACAGAGTAAACAAACGGGGGCGCAGAGCAAACGAACGGGGGCACAGAGTAAACAAACGGGGGCGCAGAGTTAACGGGGGGCATGCCACGTCTGTGAACGCGACGAGTTCACCTAGCAAAGTGGCCGATTCTCCCCAAGGTGATGTATAATGCGGTTCCTCTCAAAATTTCAGTAACGTTTTTGCAGATATAGACAGGATTATTCTAAAATTCGTATGAAAAGGCAAAGAAACTAGAAATAGCCAAAATGTCTGAAAAAGAATATTTTAAAAAAGAATAAAGCGACAGAAAATCAATCTTCTAATTTCGAGATGTATTTCTCGGCTACGATTGCCGAGGCTGCGCAGCACAGACACGCAGGTCAGCAGAACATAACGGAGGACACAGGCACAGACCCTGCGAATGTGCCCGGCTGATCTGACAAAGCTGCACGGGTGGCGCCGGGGAGAGAGGGTGCCCCGTAACTGAGGGTGCCGGCGAGCGGCCAGCTGGAGGCAAAACCCGCACACTTCGTGCAAAAGGCAACTCGAGATGAGTCATGGATTTAAACGTAGAATATAAAACTTTCAGGAAAAAACACGAGGAAGTCTCTGGGAGCCACGGCGAGGCAGAGTTCTTAGACTTGATGCCGAAAGCGCAACTCGTAAAAGGAAAAGCTGATAAATAGGAAGGTTCGCTATTTTAAAACGCTGACTACAGAGCCCAGAAATAACCCTCCTTTAATTGTCAATTAACCGATGAGGAAGGGAGCACAGATAAACGGCGGGGTAAAGGCGGTCTCCTCAGTAAGTGGTGCTGGGAAAACTGGACAGATACATGCAGAGAAAATTAAGTTGGGCCACACTAGCTATAAAAATAAACTCAAATGGGTTAAAAGACAAATCTGAGACCTGAAACCATAAAACTCCTAGAAGAAAACACAGGTAGTAAAACTCTGACACCACTTTCAGTAATGTTTCCGGATACAACTCCTCGGGCGAGCGAAACAAAAGAAAAAAATAAACAAATGGGACTACATCAAACTAAAACACATTTTTGCAGCAAAGGAAACCATCAACAAAACAAAAAACAATCTACTGAATGGGAGGAGCTATTTGCAAATGATACATCTGATAAGGGGTTAATATCCAAGATGTATAAGGGACTCAGAGAACTTAACACCAAAAAAACAAACGATCCAATTAAAAAATGGGCAGAAGAGCTGAACAGGCGTTTCTCCAAAGAGGACACACAGATGGCCAACAGACACATGAAGAGACGCTCAACATCATGAATCATCAGGAAAACGCGAATTAAACTACAATGAGAAATCACCTCACACCTGTCAGAACGGCTATCGTCAATAAATCAACAAACAAGTGTTGGTGAGCACGTGGAGAAAAGGGAGCGCTCGTACATTGTTGGGGGCTGTGCATTGGTGCAGCCACTGCGGAAAACAGTGTGGAGGTCCCTCAAAAAATTAAGAATAGAACTACCATGTGACCCAGCAATTCTACTTCTGGGTATTTATCCAAAAAACACCAAAACTAATTCAAAAAGATATATGCACCCCTCTGTTCACTGCGGTGCTATTTACAAAATGGCCAAGATATGGAAGCAACCCAGATGTCCATCGATAGATGACTGGATAAAGAAGGTGTGGTACGTATATACGATGGAATATTATTCGGCCACGAAAAAGAACGAAATTTTACCATTTGCAACAACATAGATGGACCTAGAGGGCATTATGCTAAGGGAAATAAGTCAGAGAAAGACAAATATCTTATGTTTTCACTTATATGTGGAATCTGAAAAAAACAAAACAAATGAATAAACAAAACAGAGACAGACTCACAGGTACGAAGAACAAGCTGAACGCGGCCAAAGGGGAGGGGCCGGAAGGATGAGAAATAAAAGTAAAAAACTGCGCACACGTGCGTACGGGGGGAACATTCGCTCCGCAGAAAAGATCTGTCAAGAGGATGAAGAAATAAGCTACAGACCTGGAGGAAATATTTGCAAAGAACTTATCCAATAAAGTGCTATCTAGAATACTCTCAAAAGTCAACCATTTAAACAAAAAATCCAATTAGAAAATGGGCAAAAAACAGGAGCAGATGTTCTATCACAAAGGACATGCAGATGGCAAATAAGCACACGAAAACATGGTCGACATCGTTAGGCGTCAGGGAAATGCACCTCGCAGCCACAGCGGCAGGCCACCGCGGTCAGGACGGTGGCCAGAACCTAACAGTGCGTCAGCATGAGGGAAGCTGGAGGCCACCACGCCAAGTGAAACAGACCAAACACAGAGGGACACGCGTGGCATGATTCCCCTTAGACGAGGTCTCTAGGGTCACCACATTCATGGGGACAGCCAGGAGACGGCGGTGCCGGTGGCTGGAGGAGGGGGATGGGGGTGAGCGCTTAATGGGTGGCAGTGGCTGGAGGAGGAGGACGGCTCCGGAGAAGCACAACGGTGTGACTGTGCTTGATGCCCCTGAACTGTGCACGGAAAACAGTTAGAACGGTCACTGTGTGCTATGTGCACATCCCACCACTTAAAACAGATTTTACAATAGGCAGAAAGAAAGAAAGAAATGGACTCCACCGTCCAGGACCATGGGACCTGGGCCCAGCACACGGACAGACGGTGTCTCCGGCCGCCGGGCACCCCACTCCCCACCCCCCACGGCGCAGGCCAGGCCATGGCCCTGGCGGGCACTGTGAGCAGGCGGGCGGTGAGGACGCCCCGGGGACCGCTGAAGGGGCCAGCGGTCTCGTCACCCCGGGAAGCGTGGCAGGCCCCGACATAAATACCTGGGACTGGACGGGGGAATACGGGCTTCCAGGTTCTCCGCTCAGGAGAGTCTCACTGTTCATTTTTGTTTTCAGACAAGCGATATAGCGACTGCAGAAGTCTTTACAGAGTTCGTTAACTTTTTCCAGCTCGAGAAGATGAATCCGCAAAACCTGGATCGCTTTCACCATCTGGAAGCAGAGAAAACGAGGACTCAGAGAAGAACGAGGCAGCGTGAAGTTAGAGCATCGCCACCAGCACGCGACGACTCTTAGCTACCAGCCTGAACACTGCACGGCCGTCGCCACGGGCACAGCCAGTAAGTAACAGGAGTGGACGGACGCCAGGTGTCATGCAAACGACAAATCCTTCCAGCGCCACTGCCCGGGGTCTGGCATTTCGGCTCCATCTGGTGTGCAGGGAGGAGGGACAGCCCCGGGGACTTCGGCAAGCCCAGTGCAGGACCGGCCGGGCCTCGGCCCGCTCCATCGCTGACTCGCGACCCCTCACTCTGCTCCTGCCAGTAACAGGAGTGGACGGACGCCAGGTGTCATGCAAACGACAAATCCTTCCAGCGCCACTGCCCGGGGTCTGGCATTTCGGCTCCATCTGGTGTGCAGGGAGGAGGGACAGCCCCGGGGACTTCGGCAAGCCCAGTGCAGGACCGGCCGGGCCTCGGCCCGCTCCATCGCTGACTCGCGACCCCTCACTCTGCTCCTGTTTCTTCTACGGACGAGGGTGACCCGTCCCCACCTCATAGCAGGCGTCGCCTCTGACGAAGTTCAGCTTGCCAACTCTGCCTTTCATGGGCCGCGCTTGTGGTGTCAAGTCCAGGCACGCTTTGCCTAGCCCTAGGTCAGCCCTAGATCCAAAAGATTTTCTCTTACGGTTTTCTAAATTTTAATTTTATAGTGTCATTAAGTTTGGGATAATTTGTCCCACAGCAAGAGCTGACTGATAGATAACGAAACCTCCACCACAAGCACCGCCTGCCTGTGGACCCACAACCCAAGCCCAGCCCCTCCCCGAGAGCGCGTTGGCAGTGATCCAGCGTGTGGGTCGGCGAGGACCAGCGGGCACCGAGCTCTGCCAGGCCTTGTGCTGGAACGCCACCCAGGGCAGCTCGGACCTCGCCTGCCTGGGACCACTGGGGCCGCCCCGCTCCCGCTCGCTGGTGGCCCTACAACAGGGACTCGGTGGCGGAGAGAGCTCCTGGTCCACTGCTGGTCCCCGATCAAGGCCGAGGAAGTAGACTCAGTCACACGGCTCACCTATAAAGTCTACCAGGCTCTCAGAGTTGAATATGTAATAAATTTTTTTTTAAATAACTAAGACTGGGCAATTTACTCAGGAAGAGGTTTTCCAGGACCCCTCCCTGCTCCTAACGGCCCCGAGGAAGGTGCTGGCCCAGGAGCTGGCAGGCGCTGACGGAGGTCCACGGAGGGCGTGTGCCCCAGACCCAGCCGGCGGTGCCGCGCAGGACCAAGGCCGCTCCCCTGGGGTGCAGCACTGGCGTTAGTGCCGAAGGATCCTCCGTGTCCTTTGGAAAGCATGAGAACCCCGACTTTTGGAGCACTGGACTGAGAGGAGGGTGCACCCAGAAAGACCGAGGGAGGCAGGGAGGGGCCTCGGAGCCCTGGCTATGCCTGTCCCCACTCTGTGCTCCTGCCGAGGCTTCTCGAGCTGTCACCCACCACGAATCAGCGTGAGCCTCATGACAGAGCTGTCTGGGCGAATGAAGGCAGGTGTCCATGACCGGGGGAGCCGAGGGCTGAAGGTGGCCACAGACGCGCTGCCTGAGAAGCACAGCAGGTGAGTGGGCCAACACCACGAATCCTTATGAGGGTTCAGGAGAGAACTGGACCCCCCGGTCCACGCAGCACGCGGGCCCGAACCACAGCAAAGGGGACCCGGCGAAGGCTGGGAGACACTCGCGTCACACACACGACGAAGCCAGGGACCGCGCGAACTGTGCGAGTCACCCCTTTGGCAGAACTAAAAACGGTCTCACTAGAACTGTGGAAGTTCTAATTAGCAGTTTAAAATTTAGTGAACAGCCTTTGGGTTCAGAATAAAAAATAAAAACAAAACATTATTTTACTCACTAAATTGTCCGTTTCCGGATCTTCGCAAAAGAAGGGTTTTCCTTCTTTCTCTTGCTTTCTTACAAAATTTTCAATGTCCACATCGAAACTGGCAGAGGTCGTGCCTTCCGAGCCTTGTGTGGATTGTTCACATTTTTCGAACAACAAAGCTAATAATGGGAATAGTGGATGCCTGGGAGAAAAAAATCTTCGTAAGTGCACGTTCTCCGCTTACGTGACGACGTTTTGGTATGTGTGCGTGCACGCGTTATCTGACGTGACCGCTCTGTTGAGATGTAATTCCCATACCATACAATTCACCCAGAGCTCACACGTCAGTGGTATTTAGTGCCTTCCTGACTTGCGCAACCATCACCAGTCAATTTTAGGACATTTCATCATCCCAAAAAGAAAGCCAGTACCCGTTAGCAGTCACTCTCTGTTTTACACCCAAACGTCAGCCCAGGCCACCGCTAATCTACTTTCTATCTCTATAGATTCGCCAAATAAATACTTCATATGAACAGGAATCTTAACAACACATGACCTCCGGTGTCTGGCTCCTTCCACTTAGCATGATGTCTTCACGGCTCATCCATGCCATAACGCGTATCAATACCTCATTCCTCTTTAAGGCCGAATAACATTCCATTGGATGGACAGACCACTTTTCAAAGTTTTAAAATTTACATTTAGGTCTATAATCCATTCTGAGTAAGTTTCTGTGTAAGATGCGAGAGTGGGGCGAGGGTCGCTTTTCTGCGTTGTCCCAATGCCATTTGTTGGAAAGTCTAACTTTTCCCCATGGAACTGTTTTTGCACCTTTGCCAAAGATCAAATGAGTTACATTCATACAGATTTGTCTGGGCTCTACCTGCGGCACTGATCTATGAGCCCGTGCTTCCAGTGATTTCACAATGTTTTGATTATTGTAATCTGATAGCAAATATTAAAATCAAATAGACTGATTCCTCCAACTTCTTTTTCAAAACTACTTTAGCTGACATAATTCTTTCGACTTCCATGTAAAATTTAGAATTAACTCGTGTATATGTACAGAAACATCCTGCTAAAACTTAATCGGAATTACATTGTCTACAGATCGATTTTAGGGTAACTGACATCTTCACTATGCTGAGTCCCCCAATCTATAAACATGGTACACCCCACCGTTTATTTAGCTTTTCTTTGACTGAATCAGCATTTTAGTTTCAGCATGAAGGTCCTGCACGTTTTGTTAGGTTTATACCTAAACTTTGTTGGGAGCTCTTATAAATGTATTTTCTTTTTAATTTGTTTCCGATTGCAAATTACTGGTATAAAAATAGGAACTGGCTTCTGTGTGTCGCCCTTGTGGCCTGTGACCTCATTAAACTCCCTAGGTCCTGGAAGTGTCTGCTAGACGCTGGGATTTTTACGTAGACAATCGTGTCGCTTGTGCCTAGAGCCGGTCTGACTCCTCCCTTCCTGAGCTGGGACGCCTTCTCTTTCTCTCGCCTTGCCGCTCTGGCTAGGACCGCCACCCCGCGCTGGACAGGAGTCAGCGCGGCCATCTCGGCCTTATTCCAGTCTTAGGGGAAACACGTTCAGCCTTCCCCCATCGAGTGTGATGTGCGCTGCAGCTTTTGAACTTGTTCTCCAGCAGGTTGAGAAAGTTCTCCTTTGCTAATCGTTCTTCATCATAATTTGCTGTTTTGTCAAATGCTTTTCTGCATCGCTTGAAATGATCACACCGTGGGTCTCAATGATCTCTGAAAAGTGAACTAGTCTTCCATTACTGAGATAAGCTCCACTTGGTCACTAAATGTTATTCTAATATGATTTTACTATTTTTTTGTTGCTGGATTCAATCTGCTAATATTTTTATGTCTAAATTCATGAAGGGCGCTTGTCTGTCCTGGTTTTTTTTGTACTGCTTTGGTCCTGCGATGCTCGGCTTGTGAAGTGCGCTCGGGACCATTCCTCCATTCTCCATCTCCCATTTTCTGGAAGGGATAGTGCAGACTTGCTGCTTTTTTTCCCTCTACAATTTTGGTAGAATTCTCCAGTAAAACCATCTGGGCCCGAAGAAGATGTTTTGTAAGGTGGACTAAGACGGAGATTTATATTCCAAAACTTTTATAAATAAGATATTAGGAATAACGTCTTAATCGGAGGAAACCTGCACCCCAGGAGTGATCACGTCGCACCTCGCTACCCTGCCTGGCTAACGGCTCTGCTGTTCCATTCAGCAGGGTTGTCTACGCTTGTCATTCCTAAGACCCACACGCTTCACGTCTCCGCACTACCTATAAATGGCCTGCTTGTCTGCGTCCATCGGCGTCTGGGACCCCACGGGGGGAGGGCTCACTCCTTCCACATCGGGTTCGGAGCAGGTGGGGTCCTGCTCCGTCTTGAACTCTGTCACTACTTGCATCTGTGAAGGGAGGAGAATTTGGTTACTAAACAGGAGACAAACTGCTGCTAGGTATTCTGGTCTGGGACAGTGCCACGGGAATGGTCCACTGCCAGCTGTCGCTAGCAGCAGTACGAACCAATACCGCCTACCTCTGAATTTACTATGTTTATAAAACGGCTAAAACAAAGATCAAACTTCCAAACCATTTAAAAACAGAGGACTGATACCTGCGAAATGCTTTTAATTCCCAAAATTATAATAACTAGACATTACTGAAGGGAAGTGGCACGTACGCAATCTTACCGTCTCTACCCGCTAGGTGGCCTCACACTGCACAGTATTATAGTAAGAGAAGGATAAACAAACAGCCCAAGCTCTTGTCACAAACAACTCATACCCAATATGCTACGTAGGTGTGACAGGGCTGGAAGCCGCCCCCGTCTACCCTTAAACTACAGGAATGTATAAGCTATAAAACTTTTTTTTTAAAAAGTCACTGTATTCAGAAAGTAAAGACGGGCTGTGTTTAAAGAAACAGTATTAAACATAAAAGAAAGTCTTCATGATATTATCATTTAAATTGGTTTAAACTACCTGTGTCATTACTAAGTTAGGTAAAAGCATTTAAATCTTTAAATGTAAAGAATTCAGTTTACAGGGGAAAAAAAATGGCCTCCGTAAATTTGTAATTATCCATGAGCAGATAACCCCCACCTGCCCGCCCCGGCTGCCATGACTCTGCCCCTCAAGGAAGCAGCCTGCTGGGTGAGCTGGGGTAGGGTGGGGGTCGTCCCCAAGAGACGCGACCCTCACCCTGATGCCCAGGGCCGGTGGCAGAGGGCACAGCCCAACAGAAGAGTGACAAGGTCACTTCCATTCTGCTGCCTTAGATGGTGCGATGTACCTGGGAGGTGGTTTTTCTCCCGCTCTTAAAACGATACACGAAAACAACCAACTAAAGCCCAATCAAGCACGACTTTCCTTCAGGGGAATCTGACTGTATTATAAAAAAATTATTTAGAATTATTTGGTTTTTTTTTAAATGACTGTGGAAAAAAGGGAAACGTCAACATTCGTCCTCAGAGGAAGGGCTGCGTCTGGCACATCCACACTGACTTCAACGCTCCTTCGCAATGCAGCTCGCACGGCACGGTCGGCCGGCAGGGCGCGGGCAGGGACGGGGGCCGGCGG